TGCACATACACTATCCCAATAGTCATTCAAGCATTTACGATGTACAATTGATGTACAATTGACATATTTACTATTTAAAAATCGGTACAACCTACAGATAGGCGAGGCCGAGTAACTCGGTGGACTCGGTCGAGTCTTGATACACTGCTTTTAACTTGTGGAGTTCATGAAATGATAGAGAGATAAGTATTTAGGAAGGCTGCTAAAGAGAGAGAGGGAGGAAGAAGAGGTCCACGAATGAGGAAGAATGAGAAAGAGAAGGATAACTTTTCTAGGATTTAGGTAACAGGGTGATTAAGAAAAAAAGAAGGGTAAGGGTTAAACGTCTTGTTTTGTTTAACTTGGGGGGGTTCTATGGTATGTTTAAAGGATCAGATTTTTTGGGATTATAATTTTAGAGGGGATTTTACGTCTTCTCCCTTTTTTTTCACAAATCCCTTTAGCTTTAAGTTGATACTCAGAGGGTGTGTGAGCGTCACTTTGCGCACCAAAAAATATAGAAAATGATTGAAAAATAAAAATATCCCAAATGCTTATGAAGTTACTGCAGAGGTATTTTGGTCAATTTATTAATTTTAAAAGCTTTTTAGACGATGCACGAGGGTGAGGCGCATCCACCTTCAAAATTGCATGTCAATTGGATTTGTAAAAAGTAAAATAAGTTTCAAATAGTAACATGTAATCCTTGCCATCCATATTCAATTGGAGTGTTGGGACTCTTGGGAGCCTATGAGGAAGTACTGTAGCATTTTGCCCATAGGTCTTCCCAAGTATCTTCCATAGCAAAGGCTTGTTTGGATGATAATTAACTTTATGTAGATTATATTATCTTATCTAATAATACACTTTGCATAATCTTTTTTAGAAGTTTGATAGTACCTTATATTTATAATTAGATATGAAAATAAATTTTCAGGCCATCATAAATATTTTCGACACTAAAATGACATTTTTCAACACTATTTGAAGGTGTGCCTTATTTTGATTAGTTAGGGCCTCAGCCTTATACAAACCACACCCAAAAATAAAAATTTTTTCAAAAAATAAACTTATGTAAAACTGCCTAATACATCTATCTCGGATGACTTTATGATGGAGACCACCAAACAATAGGTACTTTCTTTTCAGGATTAATTTTATTGAAACAATGAATTGTTAGTGATGCGATTACCTATAAACAAGCCCTAATTGTATGTTAGACTTATGCGATTCCTCATCATCATCATCAAAGGCTTTTCTGAATCCTGGTCTGCCATTCTGCTGCATACCCCCAGTGAGGCCAAATGTTCCATATCTTTTCTCACTACTTCCAACTATGTCCTTTTGGAGCCTACCCCTTGCCCTTTGTAAGCCTTCCACATGAACTAACTCGCACCTCCTAACAGGTGCTGTAATGGATTTGCGGTGCACATAGCCATCTTACTTAAGTCTACTTTTTCTCATCTTATATCCTATTAGAGCCACACCTAAGTATTTAGAAGCATCTTTGAGGTGGAAGTTTGAAGATTGTGTAATCAAACTCAAGTAAGTGATTTTTTTATTGCTTTAGTAATTTGCATTATTTTTGAGATGTCTTCTTCGGGATCTAATAGGAGTGGTGATCCCGGTTGGAAAGATGGCTATAACTCAAATGCTAATGAAAACATTTGCATAAGATGCAAGTTTTGTAAAAAAAATACGAAAGGGGAAGAAACATCGTGCCGGTATCAGGGGGGATGTTGCCCCATAAGAATCCTAATGCTGTTAAAGAGGAAATAAAGAATTTTTTGAACATAGTGAAAATGAAAAAAGATGAGAGAATTGCCTCTACAGCAGAGATTAAGTTTGAGGTTCAGGTCAATTTTAATGATGATAATAGTGATAAGGAAAGGATTGAGGAGGGATGTCAAGAGGTTGAGCAATCCATTATTAGGGGAAAGGGGAAGGGAGTTATAATTGCTTATAGTTCTGGGACTAAGAAACCTCGGGTTAGAGGCCGTATGGACAGTTTTTTACCTTGGCTTGACGCTGAGGTTGCAGGAGAGAAAACAAAAAAGCAAACCACCATTGAAATAGAATAAAAAAGGAAGAGAGAGATAGAGCTGCGTATTATCTTGCTACATGGTTTTATGAGGTGGGCATTCGTTTCAATACCGCTCGCTTAAGCAACTTCTATGCTGCGATCGAGACAGCTGGCCAATTGGCCCTGGGATGAAATCCTCAACCCCATATGAGTTTTCAGAGCCTTTTTTTAAAAAAGGCAGTGAGTTCCACTAAAGAAGCTGTAGAACTTAAGAAGGATGCATGGACTCAGTATGGGGTTTCTATCATGACTGATGCTTGGAGTGATAGGAAGAGAAGAAGTCAGATAAATTTGCTTGTGAATTGTCCTGCAGGGACTATTTTTTTGAGGTCTATTGGTGCCTCTGATCATATCCATGATACCCATTACATATTT